GTGTGTGGGTGGGTGGGTGGGTGTGTGTGGGTGGGTGCGGGCGTTTGTGTGCGCACCTGTGTGCCTGCACTGGTATGTGTGCGAAGCCCCCTGTATGTCCTTGCGCCTGCTGTGCTGTCTCACGACTCAAGACGCCCCCGCAGGTCCACCCACCAAGGGTCGCGCGGCACGCTGTTCTGGGTCCCGGGCGTGCTCGGTCCCCCAGCGGCGCCGCAGAGACGCGGCGACCCGCGCGGCTTGCGATCTCTTGCGGCTGCCGCAAGGGGCTGTACCAAATGGCGGGGGCCATGCGCAGGATGCACAGCCTACTGCTGTCTTCTTGATTGCGGCTGTGAGGGGGCCTGATTTGCACAAAACCGGTGCCTAGCCCTGACCCGCCCGAGCGGGCTGCGTGTTCCTGCTGTGTGTTTGCACACAGGGCCGCGCATTTTTTTTGGGATTCGATGGCAGCTCGCCTCCACGTGGCGAATCCTGGCACAGCTGCAGAGCGCTACACCCCACGCTCTGCGGTTACCAAGAGGCTGCTAATTGTGTGCGTGTGCGTATGATGGTGTGTTTGATGGCATGTGTGTGTGTGTGTGTTTGAGAGAGAGACAAAGTGATGGTGTGCGTGTGTGTGAAGGCGTGTGAAGGTGTGTGCGGCTGTGTGTGTGCGTACGCACGTGTGTGTGCGAATGGGTATGGGTGCGCAAGCACATGTCACCAGCAGGTTGCAGCTTGCAGAGGATGTATTCATGTGTGACCACCTGTCAGCCAATAAATTCTAAGATGTCACAGCTTCACTGGTAAGCAGATCAGAAGGTTAGGCGCCGCAAGGGCACAGAAAAATAGGGGCCGAGCAGGTGGTGTCAACAACAAGCGAACACTTGTAATTACGAACGCCTCTGCTGGGACGCGGCTGAGCTGTGACTGCACTCGCACTTGGGCGTGGGCAGCGCCTTGGTCAGCAGCATTTCCAGGTGGTGATCGGTTGAAGGAAAGGGGGGGTGATGTGCACATATTCACACTTGGTACCCAGATGAGGGCAGTGTGTGAGTATGTGTGGGTGTGTGTCTGATTAAAAGTACGAGCGCGCCCCTCTACAGGCAGGAAACAATTGAATGACAGCTTGGTGAGCAGCAAACAAGTCCATATGTCCGGTCCAAGCATGTACGCCTCAGTTTGTTGTTCCTGAACACACACGAGCCACTGCCGACGGCCTCACCCGCCGCGCGCGACGCTTTTGCTGCAAAGCGCAGCCTGTCGGTTGACCATGTCGGTGACGAATCAGCACGGCCTGCAGCGCCGACTGCTGGGGCCGCAATGCGGCTGTCACTGCAGCCACTGCTGAAGTCCGCTAGTTAAATCCAGCTGTGTAATCGAAGGCAACTGTGCCGCCGGGCCTCGGCGGCAGCCGGGCCGCTTGCGGGATGTTGCACCGGCATTGGCGGATGCCAGGGTTTCAGGGGATGGCTCCTGCCACAGGCACGGGGGGAGGCCAGCTGGGTGTGTGTTTCACGCGCCACATCAACACGCAATTACATCACGGCTGCAGCGAGAGCTACGCTGCGGCTCAACCCAGCAAGCAAGCGGCTACATACAAGGCTGCCGAGGCACAGGGTGGCGAGTGCAGTGTGGGGTGCACTCATGGCTCTCTGCTCCTGCAGCCAGCACCGCCGCAACCATCAGCGACATCACTTGTCTCCTGTCTGACAGCTTTCAAAGCGCTGCTGCATAGCCAGGTCTCAGCTCGCACAGTGACAGCTTGATGACAAACGAGAGCTGGAGGTGCCATGCTGTTGCTCCGCCGCCGCAGTTCATCCAACTGCTACTCCAAGGCAGCACGTCATGTGCTTGGATCAAGCTCATTATAGTTTTACATGGTATGATACATGATAGGCAATGTATCGTGCAGCAGAATGACCAGAATCTGCTACCATACTGACGTCACGGGCGTGGAGAAACCTCAAAGTATCTGCGTCAATTCCAATTGGTCGACTCTACAACGTTTGGTACCGGTATGCACGATCTAGACAGCCAGTGATCTGCCCGGCAGGTCTCCATATACAGTACAGCTGTACGAACAGCATCAACACAAGCTGCGTCAGACCAGCGCATCAGAAATACACGTGTAATCTTTAGTCAATCGTCGGGCTTGGCGGCGGTCTTCGGTGTGCAGGGCGCTCGGCTGTGCCAGCAGTGGGACTTGCGAGCTTGGTTTGAACCACGCAACGGCTGCACACCATGCCAGGTGAGGCATGGCAGCGGGGCCGCGCGGCTGGGGCGCACACCACCCCTCATGCAAGATGCAGCTTCATGCACCCGGTGCTTGTTGACCATTCCGCCTCGCCTTTGGCCACCTGACTCCCTCCAGGCTCGCACCCTGCCATCCAGCACGGCCCCATGGGCCCACCCACCAGCATGTCACCCCCTGCACAGCACATGCTTGGCCCCCGCGGCCCTGCCATGGATGCGCATGCCGAAAAAACGGCCGTCACTGCACAAACGCCACCAACTGTGCTGAGGGCCGCCGCGATGGCAGCACAGGCCGCCCTCGGAGCCGCGGCCACGGCCGCTGGGCCGGCAGAGGCAGGCGCCGCGGCCTTGCCTCGCGGCGGGCCGCCCGGCAGTCTGCTCACGCGAGAGCAAGTGGCGGCCGCATACGGCCCTCAGCTGCGGCGCGCCCAGGCGCTCGCTGCGGCCGCCGCCGCCTCGGGGCGCTGCCCGGGGCCGCCTCCGGCCCCCGTGCCGCCTGACGCACCGGACGACGTGCATCGCCAGGTGCGGGCAGCTGTGGAGACCCTGCTTCATAGCAACGGCGGCACGCACCGCTCGGCGCGGCAATGGAGGGGCGAACTCAAGAGGCTGGTGAGCAGCGGAGGGCGCGTGCCCTCGCGTTGGGAGAGGTGGAGGGAGGGGCCGGGCGGTGTTGTTCGTGCCGGCAGCGACATGAGCCGTGGCAGCACGGGCTGCATGCAGGGCCCGCCGCCTGCAGCCATCTGTGCATCCTGCAACATGCACAACGAAATGCATCACAACCGTCATCGACAGAGCGGCTCGCAGGGGCGCGCGCTGCTCGTCGCTTCACGCCCGCAGCCCACGCCCGATCCAAGGCCCCCCCTTTCACCGCCCCTGGGATGGGAACCGGTCGTCCCCCCGTGCGCTGGGGCCCAGGTGGACAGCGGCTTTGCCAACGTGGCGGCTGTCCTGCTGGCTGAGCGGCTTGAGGCGGCCGGCTGCTGCGCGGCGGGCAGCCTGGAGCTGGGGGCCGCGCCGGCATTGGCGCAGACAGCAGGGGATGACCACGACAACGACGGCGGCGCGGCGGGGCGCCCGACGGCGGCGGCCGGCTACAGAGGGTACGCGGTGCTGGTGCTGCAGGTGGGGGCGGCGTCAGCTGGGGTGCGTGAGCGGCTTGGTCATGTGTCGAGCTGGGCGCAGGGCTACGGCTGGCCCGCGCTTGCATGGGATTGTAGAGCTGCGGCGGGGCTGCACGTTTCGATGCAAGGCGCGCCCCATGCTTGGGGCGCCAACACAGCCATCATCGATTGTCTATTGCTGAGGTCCACCTCAATCATCCCGCCTCAACATCGCCGGCGCACTTACTCTTTGCAAGTCTGCACGGCCGCATGCCGCCTCTTGTGCCGCCAACACTTTAATCACAGGCTGCCAACGGCGTGCGCGAGGGCCGGGCCGTGTTCCTCAACGCGGGCGCCACCAGTCACACGCCGGCAGCGGCCCTGGAGCTGGCCGGCGTGCGGCTGTGCTACGAGGCCGGCGCGTGCGCGGCGCACCTGCATGGCTTCGCGGTGCTCCGCCCCCCGATCATCCACAAAGAGTCGGCGCCGAGCGGCCAATCCAATGCAAAGCGGCGACTGCACGTGCCGGTGACGCGCGCGCGGGCGCGGGCAGGGCCGGAGGTGCAGCATGAGGGGGCGACGCCTGCCAAGCGGCAGCGGCTTCGCGAGGCCGCTGAGCGCAAGGACGACGCTGGGAGCCGGCCGGCAGGCGGGACCGGGGGTCCGTGAGTGGCGACAAGCCTCCGCCCTTGAGGGTGGGCAGTATTGTGCAGCGCGCCCAGGCTTCTTGCCGCCGTGCACACCGACAAAGCCGCCATGGCCTTAGCGCCACCGTCACTGCGCCACAATTTCAGCGGCAGCCACGTTCACATTTCTTGTGCAACGCTTCAAAGATGCAACCTGTCAACACCTGAATCCTTTTTACAGTCTGGTGAGGGGTGTGCATTTCTGACCGCGACCCGCAGGTGAATCAGGGGTGACGCATCCTCCTGGCGACGCAGCAGCCGGGTGTGACTCAGGGCACTGCATTCGTGCAGCTGCTTTGGGGCTTTGAGGGGGGGCGTGTTTCTTTGCCTGACCAAAACAAACTTTTGCAAAATGTAATACTTGCGCACAATGCACTGATAACGGTGGTGTTGGGAGTGGATGTAAATCCATCTTCACACAGGGTCCAAATCATACTTAATCTCAAGCAGTGGAATCTCATGCACAACAGGCGATGCGTCGCGCCCCGGTAGGGCGAGTCAGGTGGTGTAAGGGTGCAATAATGCGCGGCATCCGCATGGCCTTGGGCGCTGCTGCGGTAGTTCAGTGATGACGACGCCTGGGCAGCTTGCAGCAACACGCACGAGGTAGACTGCAAGGGCGGTCGCATAACTTGGGTGATTTCTCGTCTGCGTCATGTGTTGGCAGTTGGTGCTGCCGTACGGGTGATGTCTGAGACACCTCAAAATGCTGCAATTGCTAGCTTATAAAAAAAGCAGATTGCCATGAGTGGGATACTCAAACTTGACCATTGCTGCGTTTTGTGGCAGCTGTGCTCGCCAGTACTCAACAGTAGGCCCGCCTGCTGGTGCACGTTGAAGCTGGTGGCCCACCTGGCCCCTGGCACCAAGGCTGTCCCCTCACCCACCTGGCACCGCGTGCAGAGGAACAGCCCAGCTGTCGCTGCATGGAGCGCGCAACGGTCTTGTGGCATGTAGAATTTGGGGGTCTTATGGACTTGGCCTTCTATTGCGACGAGCGCGTGTGCACTTAGACATGCCGTACGGTATTGCCCCAGCTGCGGTGCGAAGTGTGAGGGGCACATCTGGTGTGTCGCCCAGGCCAGGTGCTGGACGTACCTATATCAATGCAGCGTTAAGCCCTTCATTGCTGCGAGGTTTATGATCATGAAACCCTCAGATTCTGCGTCACTGCAACGCGTTCAGGTTGATCTGGAATGCTGCCCCGCTGCTGTGCAAGGAGGTTCATGAACAAGCCTAAAGGGCAATGACTCCACAATATCATTGAAATCCTATGAGACCCTTTGACGGTTTCCACACCTGCCCGTCAGCAGCGAGCATGCGCGCCAACAATGAAACAACAGCGCCGCCTGAACAGAAACGCTCAAATCAACTCAAGGGTAACAAGCTGGGTCACCCAGGGGCAATGTATCCAACTGTTTGAAGACTAGCCACATGCGTATATCAGTCAGGAGGCGCCTATACCGGCAGCAGGATGAAGATCGCGGTTGCAGCGGCTCCTTCGGCGCTAGAGGTGACATGCCGTCAGTGAAGGGTGGGCTGCTTAAGCAAGCGGGCAGCGATGGAAACAGCGCTGATACTCGAGTTGTTGATGTTCAGCGGCCGTCCATGGAAAGCGAGCAGCTCAGCACGCCAACACATGGGCGGTGAGCCTCACATTTCGCGGTGGGCAGGCGAGCATGACCCGTGGTCACATGCTTGTGAACGTTTGCAGGTCCTGCTGCCGCTGCTGGTCGTGGTGTTGCTGCCGCTGCTGGTTGTAGTTTTGTTGCTGCTGCTGCTGCTGCTGCTGCTGCTGCTGCTGCTGCTGCTGCTGCTGCTGCTGCTGCTGCTGCTGCTGCTGCTGCTGCTGCCGCCGCCGCCTGGGGTGCTGTTGATTTCGAAGAGGGGAGCACGGCTGGCGACTCTGCCATCATGGGCAAGCTGACACCCACATCCAAATCTCGTGCACAAATCAATTAAATGATATGCAGGGTATCGTGAACGCTGGACGCGCAGCCGGTGGCTGATGCGCTGCGCCTGCATTTTTTTAGCCCTAGTGCTGTGGCCTTCAGAGCAGTCAAAGTTGGCGAACAGCTGGCTCTTGTGGCGGACAGCAGGTGGTGCCGTCTGAGTGCTCGCCAGAAGCGACGACGATCCAGGTCCCAGGGGTTCAATGCCCCAGGCAGGGCTGCTGGTCATGCTGATGCTTTGATGCACACGCGCTTACGTGTTCCCACCATTTGATGATGCCGGCATTTTCAATCAGCCCTGCCCTGGCATGCATATCCCACACCCAGTGGATTGCGCCAGGATGGTTGCGCACACCCGGGAGTGCACAGGCGGCGCCCTCGCCGTTTCTGCGTGCGTGCGTGCGTGCGTGCGTGCGTGCGTGCGTGCGTGTGTGTGTGTGTGTGTGTGTGTGAGTCAGGGCCTGGAAGCTGCTCGGCTGGCTTAACGTCAGAGCGATTTGTGACAAAGTGGTTGGCTTGATCGATGGTCTTGATAGGCATGACAGGTACCAGGCGCTGTCAACCGCTGCCGATCAAAACAGTTACAGGCAGGGGCCCATAGACCGTAATCGTGCACGCATGTGGCGTGGCCTAGGAGCAGCCCCATGTGAGCTCTGGCCCTATCTCTTACGACCTTGCAAAGCACGAGCGCGAGTCTTTGGCACAATGCATGGCTGCCTAAAAAATCAAGGGTTTCCGCACCTCCATCGGCCACTAGAAAGCAGCCATGTGCCGCCCAAATTCAGCAGCAAGGTGTACCACCACCCCCCATGCAAATGGCATGCTCTTGGCATGCTGGCTCGAAATGCACAAAGCCCTGCCAGCCGCTTTCAGCACGCACAATCAGGCACTTGCCGTCGCCTGTCCCACCACAGGCATGCCGGCACGCTTGCGTGTGACACGGCACCCAATACCCCCGCTCCCCTGAAGAAAAGACGCTGTCTGCCCTACCAAATGCCCCGACGAGCGACCCAGCACGTCTGCTTTCCGGGCACTCATGGGTCCTCGTCTTCGGCCTCCCCGCCGTCCACCTCCCTTAAGAATGTTGTGAGGCCGGACTTTGGCGCGCGGCCTGCCCTGCCGGCCAGGGGCGAGCGGGGGTTAGAGGTGCCTGCGCCGCCGTCGGCCACCCTGGCGTCGTCGACCTCGTTGCTCTCTGCGTAAGATCAATTCAAGGGTTGTCAATGTTTGAGGGTTGAGGGATGAGGCAGCTGGTGCAGTGGCTCCAGCCACCAGCAACAACGGGACGGCCGCTAGCGCAACAAGTACCACCACATACTACTACCACCAACCCATGAGCAGCACATTTGAGTCAGGGCAACAACGATTCCCGCGCAGCCACTCACCGGCGTTGGTCGGTGCCGCCTGCTTCGGCGCCGTGGCCTCATCCGTCCCCCACAGCCTCACAGCACCCGACCGGATGCCGGTCTCGAAACAAAAACGCGCGGCCGCCACCGCTACCGCGTGCTTGAACGTCGGGCTGGGCCGCGCATTCCTAAAAACCTGGCGCCCAACGAGGCCGAGCTCGGGCGCCTGCGAGAGAGCGAGTTGGTGGGCGCTCTTGCATGGGTGCGAGGGTCCAGCAGCGTCACGGACAGGAGGCCATCCGCAACCAAGGCAGAAAACGGGAACGAACGAGCGCCTGCTAGCCATCAGGAGCAGTGGCAGCACAGAGGACTGCGGGTGGCAGCCAGAGTGAGCGGCGCGTGCCAGCCGCGCGTGAGCAACCGCCGCACCCGCGCCCCCTCACCGTGAACGTCACGATCGCAAACCCGCACGGCTTCTCGCTGCCCCGCCTCCGGTAGCAGCCGATCTCCATGCCCGGCTCCGCCAGCCCCGCAGAGACCATGCAGTCATGCTGCGAGACAGCCGCGGCGATCATCCTCCGGGGCGTTTGCGACTGTGAGGGCAACACCGCGGCGGAAGGGGTGCAGATGGGGGAAGGTCTTCGCAGTGCGCCGGTCAAACATAATGTGCTTGATTTGACTCCCGTGTCATCTTGCAAATGGTTTTGAGCTGCCATGTGAGATGTTGGCTTAGACATGCACGTTTTCTGGTTGTGCATGTGCGAATGCACGTGCACATGACGCCCGCATGGGCAGCGCCATGCTGCTCTACTAACGCTCCGCCATCACACCACCGCAGGCAGCCACCCATGCGACTGTTTGTGCCCCCCCCCCCCCCCCCCCCCCCCC